CTCTCTCTTCGTTTCTGTTTAATTTTGTTATGGATACAAATCCTCATAAAGCCCTATCCTCGTGCGGAGTTAGTGGCATCGATTTACTCCCAGGTGGCAGACTCTCTGATCTAGAGTATGCAGACGAAATTGCGCTACTAGGTGAAGATTCAGGTAAGTTACAAGCTTTTCTGGATAGTTTGAGTGCCAGTGTGTCGATGTTCGGTATGCGCTCTGCACCTTCAAAGTGTCTAATGCTGCTCCAAATTGGGTTGGCTCAGTCCGCAGCCTCAACCTGGCCGGGGAAGTTGTAGAGGAAGTGTATACGTTTTGTTATCTGGGCAGCTATATCTCACCTGGCGGTCACATCACAGATGAAGTGTCGGCCCGTATAGACAAAGTTGGATTGGCAATTGCCAACTTGAGGCATCTGTAGCGTCGTCGCGACATCCGGCTGTCTGTGAAGGGTCGAGTATATGCTGCAGCAGTACGGCCAGTTCTGCTTTACGGTGCAGAGACTTGGCCATTACCAGAACAGGATTAAAATAGATTGTCGATGTTCGAACACCGATGTCTGCGTCGCGTTGCACGAGTCTGGTGGGGAAACCGGACGGGCAATGCTAAGGTTAGGGTTTTAAGTAATCGCGGTCGTCCACTGGAACAAGTAGTCGACCTCCATAAATTACGCTGGTTGAGACATGTGCTACGCATGTCACCAGATAAATTGCCACGACGAGCGATGCTTGGCGAGACAGGTAGCGGTTGGAAAAAAACGAAGAGTGGTCAAGCTAACACTTGGCATGAGGGAATGAAAACCCTGACCAGACTGGAGACTGGCTCATATTGGCCCCGTTAGGTTCCCAGGATGGGGACTCAGAGATCACGGTCACCGGTGGTTAGAGAAACTGAGTGATGTTGCTGGGTGTCGTAAACAGTGGCGTTCATGCATCTACTCATTATTCTTATGACTTCAGTCCATGAAAATGTGCTACCTTCCGCTTGAATCTGCTCTCCACATTCTAATCATTATTCTGCTGTTTTATCCAAATGGGCAACCAAAACCGGCGCACGAAAGTGCATGGTGAATGATTGTAAGAACTGAACTGAAGATGACTCGCCGCCACGCTGATCTGGTCCAGTGCAAGTTGTTGTTGTTGGAATTTTGTTTTGCTATACATTGCCTTTTCCCATGTTTGTTTTGTGATCAATAGTTTCATAATACGGAGATAACGGAGTATGTGAATACAAATCGTTGTTTTCCTTAGCGCGTCTTTTTCGTGCCTACACGTGTCTAATCTGTCGTTTAACGTCGCACTTGGGATCGGTTTATGATGTCGTAATTAAGTAAAATTGTAAGTGTATTGAGCATTTCCAGAGAGCTTGCAACAGGAAGTTACTAATTTAATTCTTTTTTGTCTTGAATATCAATTCAGGTTAAAAATTTTCCGGAATCATTAGTCAATAATAATATTCTTCTTATCGATTTTCGTATATTACATTTCATTTTTTCTCCGTCTCTTAAATTATATATAAGTCAAAATCGAAATGGAATAATGTGATCACACTTTGAACATTTTGCCGATTTGGAAATCCTCTTCTCATTCTTTCGTTTCTCTCTCTCTCTACTTCTCCAACATTTGCACAGGTTCGAATAATCTAATCTATTTGAAGCCTATGGTGCAGTTCATTTCCAATACCCGACCATCCACAGTTGGTCAAATGCATCCACTCAGTAGTCCGTTACTCTATGCTCAGCTTCGTCCGTTCACCCTTTCACAACCGATCGTGGCATCGGCAACTCCGACCCCGACCAAGGACTGCACGGGCCCTGAAGGCATACCAGCAGCAGCTGAGCTACTCGATACCACCGGTGCTCGTGAGGAACCAAATGCTGCCAATACCAGTCCAGTCAGAGAAGGATCTGGACTGAATCAGTCTGATGCGCAAACCGAGGGTGTGTTTGTAAGTGCAACTATCTTTTTAATATAAGAAGATATCCATCGACTTGAAGTTTTTCATTATCGGTGTTTACCTAGTCTATCCAACGTGGGATGGAGCAAACGGGTTAGTAATCTTGAGGTAGGTTGTCGTGGGTTTGGGAGTCTATCGGGGATAAACATGCTAGCTCATCGAATTCAGATTGGTAGGCTTTGCTGTGGAAATAAGGTACGAAGAAATGCACAAAGCCATTTATTAGTGTAGGTGTCTCGCGCCTTCCAGGTTGGGGTTCGATAGACCTCGCAACTGGTTGGTTCGTTGATTCGTTCATTTTCATCGTGAACTCCGACGCAGAGTTCAGTTTTCAGTTTTTACAATCATTAACCATGCACTTTCGTGCGTTGGGTTTGGTTACCGTCTTTTGGTTGCCCATTTGGATAAAAGAGCGAAATGAAGATTGGAATGTCGAAGCGAATTCAAGCGGAAGATGGGGAATACATATAGAATGGTGTTAGGAAAATAACGAGTG